CATTGGCCGAATGCGGGCTGGGCGTGTTCCAAGGCATCTTCAGAAATTCGAATGTGGCCAACCAGAAGCCGGAAATAATACCCTGGTGGTGGTCGCGAGAAACAAACTTAACAAGTCCGTCGGAGTAACTCTCGGTGACTGAAAATATGGTGCACGTGATGTTTCAATCACGGTCATCCAAAATCATGGTGGAAGAGCCCGACTAGCGGAACGATCAACATAATCCGTGCGCCAAGCGCCGGGGGCCGGGAATCTGCCGTCTGAGTGGTCACACTCTGTCCGAGCAAAACAGAGTTGGAGCGACATATTCGTTTCGTACAGCTTTCTGCATGAACATAACCGAAACGTCACGTGCACCCTATTTTCTACCATCAAGGGTTACTACATTTAACCCTTACGCGCTTATTAAACCATATACCTTTGATTAAAACTGTTTCTCTCCACTACCGCTAGAGGATTCTTTTCAGCTCCGGGTTGGTCAAGAGAGCATGTCAAGCCCCCTTTCTGAGTCTGGTGCACGCGCTCGCTCTGCCGGCGCCTCGAATTGACCAAACTCTCTGCGACGCCCGACTTCACGCAAACCTAGCCTCAACCTCCTCTCCACCCCTCTCGTGAACCTGATTGGTGGCATCCGGTGGGGTTTCGTCGCGTCACGGGGCGGGGACGCCATAGCTTGCCGGGACGTGTCGTGGCGAGGAGTGAAGTTCCTCTCCCCGGCTTTGGAGTGAACTTTCTTCGGCTCGCCACGGCCAAGGCGCCAGTCGGCGTATACCCTCACGAATGCCACCGTCACGCTGGTCGTGCAAACACTGTCCACATTCATGTTCGGAACATGCTCATGTGGGACGAAAACATGCTTGGATCATGCTGGGGCCGTGTCTGAAAGCAACGCTGTTGTCATGTCTGCAGCAACCGCCGCGTTTCTTTTGCAGGATTTACGAGCAGATGAGACTGCGGTTCCAGTGTACAACTCTGTCAAAGCTCCTGACGCGTGAGCGTGGCATCGGTGACAAAATCAAACGATATATCCACACGCGAGTTTCAACTTTGCTAGGATAAAAGCGTATAATTTTTTTGTCTCCTAAAAAAATGTTTAGCGAGGGTCCCAAAATAAGCCCAACCGGGGAATGTGAGGCTGTTTAATTCTAACCAATAGAAAAAAAAACAAGAAACAATGCGCGTGCGTTTATTCAGAACTCAGTTCCACTCAGTCTGTTTGCACACACTCGTCCCTAAGGCCTCTCTTTTTAACTTTACATTTTATCGACTGCACGTTACACGAGTGAGTGGCGCCTGCGGGCTCGTTAATTAATTGTCGCCATCGAAAGTTTGGGACGAATCGCCAAAGAACTCTGCAGTGCAAACGAAGTGTCTAGCGTTACGTCCGACGTAACCCAAGTTACGTCCAAATCTCTGCCCTCCCTAGGTTCACGGCGGAGAAAAAGAAGGGCGGGGGGGGAAGAACTGTGCAGTGCAAAACGCATCCTGGAATGTCACTGCCGTACAAAGGAGACATGAGTCATTATATAAGGCACGCCTAGAGTATCGCCCCTCCAATCCCCGATTTTGTTGTGGGCGCCGCCATTTTAGTGCTCAGCGCTGTGCGGGCGCCATTGATAATCGTCATGATTTGAAAACGCGACTTCCCGAGCACAATGGGGCTTAGTCAGGTAAAGCTTGTTTACCTTTGCCTCCTCACCCGTGACTTAAAGACTAGTATTAGTATAATTATGTAATGGTATCAGGTGGCTCTATACTATAATGCTCTGTCACGGGCTTTTTTTTTTTTTTAACTATTTTTGGAGGACGGAACGCCGTTTCCAGAGATTTCAGGTAAAGGTCAAGATAATGGGAAACAATGATTAGAAGCACCAAGGTGACTCAATTGTGACCTTACTGAGTATGAAGAGCTACGAATGTCTTCGCTCAATAGCTCAACTTTTGAAGCTTTACTTATTTGCACCGCGGTCATTGGCACAATAAATTCTGCGTTGCTATTTTGGTTACTAGCTGGCACTGACTTTGGAAGAGGGTCTAATGTAGCCACTTAGATATCATCCTGTCGGTGACCACACGAGCACGAGAACACTGCGCTGAACCATAGTTTAAACGATCCTTTCACGGTACGAGTACGCGTGCCTGGCAGGGGCGCTGAAAGCCCGCGGAGCCCACTGTTGTACCTCCTGCTACGGAGTATATAGTCAACACTAGAACCACTAAATGAGCTGCTCAGAGTATCGGCACTCCGTTCCCCGATCTGCTAGTGGGCGTCGCCATCTTGGTGCTCGTCGCAGAGCAGACGCAACTGTCGATCGTCACAATTAAAAACTGCAACTTCCTCAGCTTTAGATACGATGTTTGAGAACTCGGTGGTGTTGTTTTGCTTTGCCGCGAACCGTTTTAACATTTCCGGAGGACGGAAAAGCGTTTTCTGGGATTCAGATAAAACTTTAGCTAACTGGCAACCATGATTTTAAGTCCCAAGACGGCTGAAGTGTCGTTACTCTGAAGCGTAGCTTATTTAGTGACTCTATATTTTGCTTTAGCTGAAGTTCAGACGCAGACGATGCTACAAGCGCGAGCCCTGGACTTTCAGCGTCCCTGCCAAGTACGCGCGGTCGTGCAGTGCGAGCACTGTTCAAGGTCATATGCTCGCGCTGGTCGCATTGGCTACGTCTGAACTTAAGCTAAAACAAAGCATAGTCAACACTATACTTTGTTTAAGCTGAGACTGCATGCCAAAGCTATCAAGACGCGAACAAGCCCTCGCTCCCGCCTTTCAGATGTGCCTTTCTAGCGCGAGCGCTCGTTCCGCGAAATAATGTTTCACAGCCGTTACCTCGTGTTTGTGGCATTCACTGCAGTCTCAGCTTAAGGGTGAATCAAGTCTAGAGCCCATAAATAAGCTACGCTCCAGAATAACAAAACTTCAGCCATCTTGGTGCTTAAAAGTCACGCTTGCCAGCTCTTTATCTGAAATCCCAGGAAACACCCTTCCGCCCTCCAGAACTGTTAAAACAGATTACGACAGAGCAAATCAATATAACCCGCGCCTCCTAACACCGCATTCAAAGCTGACGAAGTCGCATTTTTAAATTGTGACGATCAACAATTGCATTTTCTCAACACTAAGCACCCTGATGGCGGCACCCACGATCAGATCGGGCAAAAGAGTGCCGACACTCTAAGCCTAGCTCATTTATGGCTTTAGTGAACACAGGCTAGAATAATCAGGGTCTACGAACGCCCTCTTCTTCCCCCGTGAAACGTCTTCACGGTAAGATGGCGCTCAACAATTGGACCCGATCCCGATTCCGAGTGCGTCATTCGACGCTTTTATTGGACACGAGGCCCATCCGAGCACTGACGCGGCGCTCGTATCCAATCCGTGTCTTCGCTCGATCTCACTGTGATGACGTCAAAGTTCCAGTGCAAAGGTGATGTTGCTACAGCGCGGTGACGGATGTCGCCGAACTCTCAAAATTTGTTGTGTAGCAGCAATAAGCATGGACGTGCGATCACTGAAAGAGCTAGAACGGCAGGGAGGTTCTTTCGTTGTTCCGTATTCAGCGCGAGCGTCCTAGAGCTGCCACATGTGCGTCGGCATCTCGTCGGCCTCCAGCGTGTACGCTCAGCTCAAGCACGACGGAAGGCGAAGAGGGCGTGCTGGAGGCCGGGCTTTCATAGCAGACGTTATGTCGTTCTCACCCTGTCGGCGACTTTGGCCGAAAGAGCGGCCACCATGAGTACTTCCGGAGCTGGATGTGTCACGCGACACGCGTGACCCTTCGTTCCAAAGCCATCTCGAAATGTTGTTCTATCTTTTTTATTATTTAGAACTCTAAATTTTAAATTAATTCTCGCTTTGAGCTTTGTGAACATTCAAGATCTACTGAGTCCAATATTTGACAAAGGAACATTTATCTACACCGAAAGGATGATAACGGCTGGGTGGAATTTCGGTTGATAACATTTCGACGTCTCGTGAGTTTCGAGCGTGCACTGACTGCCAAAGCACGACGGAAGGCGACTATCACGTGTTTGAAGACCGGGGGAGAAAAAAAGACACTTCGCCTTTTTCATTCTCTCGGCGACTATAGAAAGTTAGTCAAGTTTCTTTCGATCATCGGGATAACCGTTCCGCGGGTGTTTCTTTCCCGCGTTCCAGCGGTGTCGTGCAACGAAGTGCGCCCAACGGACACGTGGGCGGACTTTGAACGGCGGTTCCAGGGGGAATTCTCGGCGCAGTACCCGTGCTCATTAAGACAGATAAATCGAAAACTACGCTATTCTAAAACTTCCCATACTCGCAAACGCCTTCCATAAGGACCGTACAGCGTAGCGGAGCTCGAGTTTCGAATTTGGGAGAAAGACGGGGACTTCCTTGTACTTCAAATCTGTGTCGATGTAGTACCCGAATTTGAGAACAAATCTAGAATAATCACGGCGCGGTGTAACGCAGATGTCACATTAACGTGTTCAATATAAGCGCGTGACAAACGGGAGAACCAACGGGTAGATTTTGAGGGCGGAGTTTCGGGAAGTTTCTTTGCCATTTAGTTCCACGTGGAAGCACGGCCGGATCAACTTCCAAAGAGCACGGCGGGAACCACACTGCTGCCTCGCGAAGCCATTCCGGTCCAGTGCAAACCACGATCATCTAAACTAAACACTACTGCACGTAGGTGAGCAACAAATGCTAACGCGTTTAATAAAAGTTTCAAAAAAAAATAGGACTCTAAAAAGAAAAAAAAACAGCCAGCGTCAACAAATTTACGCGCTTGCGTACGCGACCCCGCCAACATCTGCGTGCTAATCTGTAGATTGCACGCGAAACTTCCCCGGCCTACTAGGTTTTTTTGGGAAACAAAAGTTTCCTGCGTCCTGTCTTTGTTCCGTGCGGCAGTCGACAAAACAACAAACCAGCGCTTGAGGAGAAGCGCTACCGATCGAACTGTCCATCTCCCGTCCCGAGACGTGGGCCCGACCCCGAGACTCACCGGACAACGTGGCCAGGAGCAGCACAACGACGGAGCGGTGCATGGCGACGTCGACGATCGCGGCTGGCGACCCCCGCCACACCTCATGGCAGCCTGCGCCAAGACATGTGCTGCTCCGGCGAGCCTCATCTCCCGATCAGCGAAGAAGGGGTGCATCCCTTTCCCCCCTACTCTGCTTCCTTCTCCCTCTTTGCTCCCCTTTCCCCCCCGCCCTTTTAAGAGGTCACGTGACCCCTCCAACTCCGCCCTCCTCTCGCGTCCCGGTCTGTCTCCTCGCCCAGAGCGGCAGTCGGTGTCGGAGCAACGTGCTCGACGGATCTGCGTCCTCCGTCGTTATCTGGTTTTACCAAACTTACAAATTGCCAAGCTAAACATATTTTCGGCATGTTCGGGCTTTACTCTTCTCGATATGCTATTTGGTATCTCTACATTCGAAACAGCTATTGGGAAAACGGCAAATGAAGGTCACGCCAAGACCAACATTCAAATATTTCCGCGTTCTCCGGTGAGGTGACGTCACTTGTTAAATAAACCGACCAACGTTATTAGATTACCTCAGTTGCGGAACTCCCACGAAAGGGAGTGCCCCCCCCCCCCCCCCCCCCCCAATCACTCCCTTTGGTCCGCCTCCCGCCCTTTGAAGCGCCATGTAGAGTTTCGTTTCAAAGCGGTTTCCGATAAGTCTGTCTGTCTCGGGTTGAAGCATCATTTGTTGCACTCAGTGAGCCAGCGCGTTACCCACTGGCGCACTCAGTGCGTGACTTGGGCGGTAAAATGGCGTCTAAGCATTAGCTAGGGACACTAAATGAGCTGCGCTTAGAGTATTGGCACTTTGTTTCCCAATATTGTGGAGGCGCCGCCATCTTGCTGCTTAGTAGAGCAGACGCAACTGCCGATTGCAGTGATTCAAAAGTGCAACTTCCTCAGCATTAGAGCCGGTATTAGAAAACTCACGCAATAGTGTTTTTTTTTTCTGTCACGAACTGCTTGAACATTTTTAGAGGACGGAAAAGCGTTTGCCGTAATTTCAGATTCATGACGTGACGTCAATTTCCCTGCTAAATCTAGCGGGGAAACTTAACCTGCTAAATTTAGCGGGGAAACTTAACCTGCTAAATTTAGCGGGGAAGCTTAACCCACTAAATTTAACGGAGACATTTTCCCGCTAAATTGAGCGGGTTAAGTTTCCCCGCTAAATTTAGCTGGGAAATTGACGTCAGTTGACCTCAACACCAATTCAGTTTCCCCGCTAAATTTAGCGGGAAAAAGGACGTCACATGGCTTCGTGTCACGTCACCCATGAACAAATTCAGTGGGAGGAGAAGAGGAGGAGGAGGTTGAGGAGGAAATGGGGCGAGAAGGGGAGGGTACGCAGGAGAAAAAGGCGCATACCCTCCCCTCCCTACCTACCCCTCCTCCTCCTCAAGAGCTGCGCTCTAGTTTCGCGTTACAGATATTTGTAAACGTCCTTCATTTCTTTGCTAGCGAGAGTTATTTCAGCATTCATTTCCCACCATCAAACTTCTTGTAAGACAAGTTGTACCGCCCCCATAATTCAACATTTGACGTCACGTCTACAGTGTTGGCAGCAGAGCCTCTCAGACCAAATTTAAAAATTCAATAGCTAATCCGCGGCGAGAAGTATGGGTATCGCCGCCTGGCGGAATTTCTTTACAACCCAAGGTGGGGATACTTCCTCTGCTGGTGCAAGCACGTGCAATGCCAAGCTTCTATGTACTATGAAACTTAGAACATAACCCCGTGGGTAGCACTACCCAGAGTGCCGAAAACAAAAGTACCCCTAGCGAGCTTCTTACCGCAAAAAGCTTCGCGACTTTTGTTAGTTTTCCCGCTAAATTTAGGGGAGAAATTGGTGTCACGTGACCCAAGGTTGCACGACCTGGTGGCGTGACGTAACCTCACGATGTCAGTGACCCGAAATCACGGGGCGGCGGCGCATAACGTCACATTACGGTGTAAAGTTCGGCTGTCACGCGATGCCTGTCCTCCGGCGTCAGTTGTTGTTGTTGTTGTTTTTTTATTTTTTTTTTCTGCCGGGAACAGTCTGAATTTATTGGAATATGTGAAAAATTGTCTGGTTTGCATTGATCTGGGTACATCGGGTCGTTTAATCAAGCCGAAACGTGCATCTGGAAAAGCTTGTGAAGTAACTCAACAGGCCGATTCCGGCACTCTGATTGGTGCGTTTTTATGGACGTCACATCTCCTGGATTACGGAGCGTCAGAAAAAGAAAGGAGGGGAAAAAGGGGGAGGAGGGGTGCTTAGGGTGAACACGTCTCAGGGAATCACGCGCTAGCTTTTATATTCGTTTTCACCCCAAGAGCCGTAGTTAAAGAAGTCCGGCTCCACGCGGAGTATTACTGATTACCCCGTTTATGCAGAGAACTAAGACATATGTATCTGTGTTGAGACGTCTTAGGCGTTGTCCCCTTTTTCGTCTGTTGCCTCCACTTTTTTAGAAATGTGCAACATCAACCAGCTCGCCTACCTACCCACACTATCTTCAATATGTATCTGCATTTTAGATTAGATATATGTTATCCTATCAAGAGTACACGTTTCAAACGCCAAGAGCATCGCTTGTTTCTTCGACAACCAATTTTTTTTAATGGCGAATTCGCGTGGTCATCTCCCGGCAAAATATTTTGCCATATCTCCGCCAAGGGCGTTCCCGTGGTCAAAGGCTGGCGAGTGCGCGCCGTTCGGGTGGCAGTTCTCAGGCGTGTGCTGGCAATTTACCGGCACAATTTTTGCCCGAGCTCCAAGAGGTCGGGCAGCTTGTCTGCCAGACTGTATCCGGTATCGTCATATCCGAATCGGGAAAGGGAGCCAAACGAAACAATGGTCGCCGAGAGCGTGTTCGAGTAGAAAACGAAGCCATTGAGACAGACACCCCTCTGTGGTCCGAGAAAGACAGCAAAAACAACGGAGATAAAGATAAAATATTTTAAAGGAAGCTTCCGCAAGATCAGTTTCCTATGGGACACAGCGTGTTATTACACCGCTGTAAAAAATGTATTGATAGTGCTGCAGCTCGACACTTGAACGCGCATTACTATTTTAGAGGGCTGGGTCAAATCAAAATGCTGAGGATTGCAGCAAAAAGGTAATAACAAGAAAATGGAATATAAAATGGCGACGCTGGTGAGCCTTCTAGGATCCTTGTAAGATGGCAACAGTTCCTCGAGAATCTAAACAAAATATATTACAATTTGTTTACCCACATCTCAGAGTCCGAATATATATTGCTGATGCCTAGAGCGTGCCTATTGTATCATAAAATAATCGTGGAAGAAGTTACCGAAGTTCCCGAGCGACCCAGGCAGACGAAAACGCCAGTTGCAGGCGCTTTGTGTTCGGGTGGAGAGGGTCACGTGGTGCGCCGCTGGCGCGGTTTTCGTTGCCTGTGCCGCCGGCGTGAGCTCGCCGGCGATTGACCACCCGAATTCGCCATAAGGCTGCGGTCCCACGGCAGCCATCTTGAACAAGGCGTTAGTTCAACCAGTAGATGGCGACACGCACCCGTGGGGTGGCCAAAACATTGGTTCACGATGGGATGGCTCGAGCACCATCACGTTCCCCTCGTGGCCTTGCTCGCGCCGCTGCCAGCTGAGCTCAGCTGGTTCAAGTAGCGTGGCCCATCAAACGGATGTATGCGAGAACGTCAGGCTGGGTATAAATGCGGTTCGGCGGTTGTCACGGGTTTTCGCAATAAATCTTACCAAGAAGGAATCACTTGTTGATTGACGTATCAATATTATATCATTGAAAACTTCTTCTGCAGGAATGCACGCTCAGTAGACTCAATCTTCCAAAATACCAGTGGAAGCGGACGTCAAGTGAGCTGCTTCGCGATTTACAGTACTTACCTCACCATTATAATGACGACTGAAAAGTGAGGTCACAAAATATTGTGTTTCACGAGATCCGCAAGATGTTGCAAAGGTTGTTACATTATAGTTCCCAGAAAACAAACGCCGTTCCAATATTTTTGGAAGTACCGTACACATAATGTTGTAAGTACAGCTTAGGAGGAATATGATGAAAACCATCAGAATAAATAGGAAGACGTTTATTTGCAATGAAGGGGCTATGAATGAACGGCGTTTAACGACGGCATGTTATGAGCGTTCGGGAATTTTTCAGTTCACGTGATTGCTAACTATGGACATGCGGACAATGAAGACCTGTTTTGTCGGGAGATGACCTGATATCGGACGACTCGTGGCAGACGAAGAAGCAAGTTTCTTCTCAGTGAATGGTAAGCGTCCAGTATCAAGCACAGCACGTGGCTACCGACGTTGTCGACTTTTCGAACACTTACGCTTTTAACAAAAGTGCTGGCACCTGGACTAACTTTGTGGAAAGACTAGAAGTCTTCCTCGAGTCCAGCGCCATCATAAACAGTAATTGAAAACGATCCTTTATTCGGTCAGTGGGCGGCGAAAGTATCCGCATCTGCGGAGCCATTGTCGATGCGTACTCTAAGTGGTTGGAAGTTTAAGGGCTGTTTGTACTCCGACGTTGTGCGCAGTGAACGCAGCGTAGCGCAGAACGCACGCCTTTCATAGGCTCGCGTTCATAGGTCGCAGATATCAAGTTCCAGGAACTTGATATCTGCGACCAATGAGTATCAGTGTGCGCTGCGCTGCGCTGCGCCCATCGACGTTACGTTGAAGTATAAACGTACCTTTACACGATGCCTGCCACGACGTCCAAACGCGTCATTGACGTTCTACGCTCTGTTTTTCCTACTTTTACCCTACCGAAAATACTTTTCTCTGATAACGCTCCAAATCTTGCTTCAAATAAAATAAACAAGTTTTTGAAAAAAAAAAAAAGAAGAAAACCGGCATCAGGCATCACCTTTAGTGTACCATACCATGCTTTAACTAACGGGCAAGCAAAACAGATGGTGTGCGAAGCGAAGAAAGCCCGCTTGAAGCTTACGGAAGAAACACTTCAGTGAAGAATCGCCAGGTTTTTGTTCCAGCAACACGCGACGGTCTCATCTTACACGGTAAAAACACCCGCCGAAGAAATGTTCGGCGGACGAAGAGCCACACCCCTCG